TCGCATAAATAGATAAAACTGAAGGCTTTAAAGCTTTAGGTATTTTCTTCCATTTCGCTATTATAATCAGCGTTTCCTAGTTTATACTTAGTTTTTAAAAACTTCCTAGGTTTACTCTTGATACTTTTTTCTCTTATTACTTAGTTCAAGGCTCGTTTAGCTTTGTTTCTTGATTGCCTGTCTCAGATCACAGACGTTCTCTGGAGATTTGTTCCTTGGTTTTTTTCCTCCAATTATTCCTTCGCATGCACGTGCATGATTGAAAATTCACAAGGAACAATTCCCGTAGATGTCTTGTGATTTGAAATGGTCAACAAAAAAACTAAGCCGAATGTGCGGAACTAAATAAAACCTTTTGCAAAATATAATTATTAGAATAAAACTAAACCTTTTCATTCGCCTAAGGATAAGAATAGCGCCAAATTATTTTCACTTTAATTAGAGAGAGATTCTGGTATGGGTATCTTCACTGATAAGAGACATTTAGCGACTTGTGCTCTTTGGTGACATTTGTGTGATAAAGTCAAACCAGACTAGTGAGATTCGGTATCTTTCCTTGCTTTCAGTGACGATGCTCTGGAAATTGGGCACCTCAAGTTAGCGCTTCGGTTTTTTTTGTCCAGGTTGGGAACATTTCTGACTCAATTAGGTTTTTTCCTACTAAATTTATGGCGCGATTGCGAGCTAAAATTATTTCTATTGCCGCGGAGGCAAATCACTTTAGCTTTCGATACATTGACTTGCAAATCAGCTCCTTTAATCAAATTCCATTTTTAATTTTAATTTTTTTTTTCAAATCATCAATTCTAAATTGATCAGGTGTGATATTGTGACAAATTAGGAGAAAGACCCCAGAGGCATTGAGAGCAAACTCTCACTTTCCTTTACCCTGCCCCTCCCTACTTAGGAGCAAGTGGTCAACTCTTCCAAGTGTTCAACTGTCCCCGGCTTGTACTAAGGGATCAGATAAAACTGAACAGGATTTTAAAGTTGGAATAATAAAAGAGGACTAAAGAAACATCACTGACTATGAGAAGCAGAGTGGAAGCAACTATAGCAGGGATAAGATTGGCTTTATTTTTTTTTAATTTTAGTTCCTTAAATAAAATGATGGACACGACAGACAATTTTATTCTATCAATAAAATGTTGTTACTTCATTCCTGTGTTGCTTTACTTCGCAATCCAACCGTTAAAAAGTGAACCAGATAAATTCCTAATAATAAGCCAAGTTGCTTAACAAGACTTAACAACATTGCTACAAAAATACGTTTCCCAAAATAGTTTCCCGATGCGTTTGATTTTAGTAAAAAGTGATTATCTCTCAAAACATAACGCGAATTCGTGTTTTTATCAAAGCAAAAAGCGCAGAAGATAATATTCATCAAATTATCTCTTTTAGCAGGCTTTGTTCAAGTCGTCACGCAGAGTCGCGTGACCTCCTCTACTACCGTGACCTTTTTCAACGATTGTAAAATAAAGTGCTAAATTTTCCCCGAATTACGATCCATTTTTTTCTATAATGAGATAGAAACAAACCCATGTACTAAAAACAAACGCACTAAGATAACGTATTCAAGGAAAACAGCTATCGTATTTGCTTAACGTAAGAGAAAATTTTTGTAACACAAGGTAGCGCGAGACAAGGCTTGAAACTTTGTAGGACAGATCTTGGATGCTCAGAGTTTGTTTTCGATAAAACCTCTCCATTCGGTTCCTCCTTACAACTGATTTAGAAACAATTACCGACATTTGAGAGAAATTCCACCCCGAAATCGTACTTAATAAAATTCAAATATTTTAAACCCGTGCGATCGTGTACAAACCAACTCCTCTCAAACACGAAAATTTTCAAGGGCGATAAAACTCTTGAGGTCCAACAACGAAAAAATCCATTAAAGATTGCAGCAGCATTACAGTCGATCTAAAGAGGTTTAGTATTGAAAATATTTAAATCAAAACAAGTATGCAAATATGTCCCTATAATTTTTCACGCATTTCTTGAAATTTGCATTTTAAAAGTCGGAGATGTTCCATTCTTCAGAATATTGAGGTGCCTATTATTCAGTGGAAATCTGTGACGACTATTTTAAAAGTAAAATAAATCAGGGTCTTTATCTATCTTTGAATTGACACTCTGAAATAAAGTTGGCCATAAAAGATAATTTTGCCTTTTCACAACAAATTATTTGGTGCACTTTGTCTTTAATCACGCGTGACATAGGTGTGTAATGACATAGGGGGTCGTACAACGAATTTCCCAGACGCACCAGCGAATCAATAAAGTCCATTGAAAATCCAAATCTCAGAGCCTCAGTCCCTACTCAAATAATTGTTTTCTTTTTTAAACGAATTTCTGGGACTAAATTTTAAAGATTTTTATCACAATGTAGAAATTGTTGATAGGAAAACTAGGAGAGGTGATGAAGAATGAATGAATGAAGAGGCAAACCATCCATTCAGCCAAAATGTTGATAATCACTGTCTCCATTGGTTGAACAGACCACATGAGACAATTTTGGAACTTCCCATATCATGCTTCAATTGCAAAAATGTTTGTTTTAACATATTTTGGCATGGACACTTGACTGTACTAACTCACCCAGACATGCCGTATACCATTCTTTGTTTTTCAATAAAAAGAGAATTTGGAAGGAACACCAGATTAGGGGATAACATGGAAAGCAGGCATTGATACAGGCCCACAAACACTTCTGGTTGCCTCTTTCACCTGTCTATGGTTACAATTCTTTAGAATCACAAGCTCCACAGAGCATAGTAATATTTTATGCTGTTAAAGCAATCTACAATATAGGTTTAAGTCAGTTTGTCAATTAGGTTGCCAATCAGTCATCACATAATCCCAGTCAGTTAAACAGACATTAGCCAGACAGTCAGTCATAACCAAGTCATTTAATGAGTTAATCATTCATCGAGTGGTTTATTGTAGTCAGTTGGTGTGCAAGAGCTTTAGTCAGCCCAGTCAGTAGGACAGTTGGTTCATTTATCAGTTATTTAGTCAGTCTATCACTTTAACAGTCAGTAAGTCAGTCAGCCAGCCAATCAGTCAGTCAGTCAGTCAGTAAGTCATCAGCCATTCAGTCAAACAGTCAGTCATTAAGTCAGTCAGTCATCAATCTTTCAATCAGTCAGTCTGTCAATCAATCAGTCAATCAATGATCATTCATTCAGTCAGTCAGTCATTCAATCAGTTAGTAAGACAGTACATCAATCAGACAGTTAGTCTGTCAGTGAATCAGTCAGTCAGTAAATCAGTTAGTCAATCGGTCAATCATTTGATTGGTCAGTCAGTTAATCAGACTATCAGTCAGTCATATAATCAGTCACTCAGTCAGTCAGTCAGTCAGTGAGTTAGTCAAACTGTCACTTAGTCAGTCAGTCAGTCACTTATATGTAGTCAGTCTGCCAGAGAGTCTATCAGTCAGCCAGTTGGTTTATCGATGAGTCAGTCAGTCAGTCCCTTATATGTAGTCAGTCGGCCAGGAAGTCTATCAGTCAGTCAGTCAGTAGGTCTTTTCATAAGTTAGTCCACTATTTACAGTCTTCTGGTCAGATAGAATGTGGTTGCCAGACAAAAGTTTGTAACTTCCTTTAACAAATTCCCTGATCAAAATAGAGTTGTGCAGACCAAATTATGCAAAATGTTAGATACTGTACGTGAGGAACAGCCTCCAGGTTCTCCCAACAGCTAGCCCTTCCATGCACTAGTATGTTTTTCACAAATCATAAGTAAAAATGGCTTCAGTCCATTTTAATGTCATTCAAATTCTTTGAATTTTCTCTAAAATTTCACTTTTTTTTTCCAAATAAACTTTCTGCAATTTCCCAAGCCTTAGAGAATTTTTCTGGATCATAAGCTGACCTGTGGCTACCATGTACCAATTGAGTTTGGTATGCAGTTGTAATACAAAAGAGTGCAAGTACAGTATGTCAGTCATTTTGAGGCACATGACCACTCAAATAATAAAGGTGCTTCAGTTGCAGGCAGTTCTTTATGCTAGAAATGTTTCCCCTTGTCAGCTTCCATACTTGTTCAATGGCAAAAAGAACAAAGGTGATTTGGTAAGACTTCAAATTGGAATTTCTAGAATTCAGCAATTCCCTACGCAACTTCACACTTTTTCTTGTAACAATTTTCTTTCTCAGATATACCATACACTTATGTATTTTGCAACTTGTCCTTTTGCAGAATTGCAAATCAGACAGTCAACTGTGACAACAGACAATGAAAAGTGACAAAGATATCAACCTTAATCCATAGTACATTGATACACTGCATGTCTGGGGTGAATTTCAAGTTAATGTTCCACACATAGATACTGCTTTACATTAAATGAGCAGCATCATGCATTTGCTACCTTGCACTAAAACAGAACTTGGCTTATTAATAAGATTTGTTTATCTGGTTCACCTTACAGCTGGATTGCAAAGTAAAACAAGCATCTTGAAAGAGATCTGCTCTTCAAGCTTTGTCCACTTGTTCACCCATCGGACATCTGACCTGAAGAAAATAAGAAGAAAGTCCTTCTGATAAGGGTTATGCTCAATAGGAATTAATGCTTAGTTGTTCTTTCAAGTCCTTGCATGTTCTTTAAACTGTTAAATTCTCAGAAGAGATTAACATGTACATACATGTATAGAATACAAAATAAAATTTCTCTCTGAATGCTATTTACGCATGTGTTGGTAATAACAGAAATTGAAAAAGACAATGCAAGGAACAAGTAAGATTTCTGACTCAAACCAATGGGTGCATAAATACATGTACCATACAGACAGACTTTATTATGGTGTATTAAGTTTATTACAAACATATAGAGATTCAGACAGTCAATCAATCAATCAATTAATGGTCAGTCCGTCAGGTAATCAATTAGTCA